CTTATTCCTGTAACAGTTCGATATTATTCTTCCCAAAAAATGTATTAACTTATTCCTGTAACAGTTCGATATTATTCTTCCCAAAAAATGTATTAACTTATTCCTGTAACAGTTCGATATTGTATCGAACATAGCAGAAAATGTACTAACTTATTCCTGTAATAGTTCGGTATTGTTCTTTCATTCCAGAAAATGTGCTAACTTATTCCTGTAACAATTCGATATTGTTCTTTCCAGAAAATGATTCGATGAATCAAACGATAATTCACTTATTGCTTGGTTGTTGAAATAATAATATTCATAGTTTCTTTCAAAATTTCTAGACATTCCAAAGTTTCAAAATATTTCACTTACATATCATTGTCAACATATATCAGCCTTATTTATTCACTGCTTATTATAATGAACGTGTATATAGCAATAACTTTAAAGGAATAAGATCACTTTAAAATTTCTCATTACATTAAATTGCTGATTAAAATCAATTTATATGCTTATTCTTATTCTTTGCTCTTTTTCTTGTTTAGTTGGTGGGATATGATATCCTTGAAAGGAAGCATTTATAAATAATGATATGTACGTTAATTTTGGCATCGGATAGTGTTGAAAAGGAGGAAAATAGCATTGCTGTTTATTTCACAGTTATGCTTTCAGTGTCGTAAAAGAATTACTAAGTTATGTAGAGATTTGTAAGGTACCGACTACAAGTTTATCCAGTTTCCGAGGCATTGGTCACCGATATCGGTTGAGCACTTTTTCCAAGAGATGACATTATTTGAGATGTGTCTAAGCCTGCCTTTTTTTCTTCCTTACATCACAATGACACTGAGGTATCTAGCAGAAGTACTACAACGTTAAATAAATTGATTTTAATGTTGTAATGAAAATGAATTAAATTTCTAGAAATTGAAATTAGACCTCATGCTTTAATCTTTACATCTCTCAGAAAGTATTCCAATATTTCTCAGTTCTATTTTTATTGTTACAATTTCCTAATTGATGATTTTACATTTAAATTATTGCATACTATTTTGAACATTTATACATATGCATTTGCCACATAGGAGATAAAAGTCATATAGAATATCATATGCAGAATTGATTTAATTAATAAACAATCATAATTTGAGTCCTGTTAACTATTTATTTTGAATGTCTCATTTGTCTAAAACTAGCACTTTTATCGATTGGAGCATCTAAACATAACCAAAATTGAAGCATAGTTTATGATAAGATGGATGGTACTTTCATACAATTTATGTTAAAGAAATTTATTTTATCTGTGAAACATTAAGGTAGTAAATCCAGGAATTATTCACTGTATTGAATCTTCTGCGCGGAATTGGTTGGAAGAAATGAATTAACGGGCCTGTCATTGTCTGAATATCCGGATGTCATTGTGTTGAGCATCAGTGACATCGGTGACCTTGCTTATTTCCTGAATCGTCCAAGTAATGATGACATAATCTGTGCGTGAAAAAAGAAAAAAAAGCTATGAACCGTGCACTTTGTGATGAATATTTGTACTCTAGAGCAATTGGAATTACTTAAAATACTAGCTGATTTAAATTTTTCATCAAATAGAGATTGCTTTAGTAGATGTCAAGCAATCTTTTAACATCCGTCATATTGGTCGATGAAACTATTAACATAGTTGTAGTTTGTTTGATATTCACTGACCAAAGATGTCCATTGAACTAGAACTATTATATTGCACATTCATAACTAGAACTATTATATTGCACATTCAT